TCTAAGTGATCGAAAAGAGAAAAAAATTTGATAATCTCAAAAACTTTCACAGATACAACATATGATAAACAAGCTTATGGACCAGCATGCCAAACTTTGTCAAAAGCTTTAGATATGTCAAGAGCAATAGTTCTAGCCTCTCCACCTCCATCTAATGCACAATAAAATCTTTTAATTACAGCAGTTAGCAGTATGGTCAATTTGATCAGAAATTACATCTAAAAAGAGTGTAGTCTTTGGAAGAAGGAGAATGATAAAAAACAAAGAAAAAGATAATAAATTGAAGAGGCGCTAAGTGGAAGCACATAAAAGATTGGTTAAAAGATTCAAACATGATTTCATGACAAATAGATGAATTGATAGGTATGTATACCCCCAAGCCAAGCATGTGACTATTGGAGTCGTAGATTTAACTGATGGAAGGTTGCTTTGCCGACAATGAATTTTAGTAAAATAGCTAAATAAATTACGTTTAGAACAAATATTTTTGAAGCATCGCTCTTTTATAATTTTTTTTTATAAAATTAAGCGATATTTTTTATATAAAGTAACATCTTACGATTGTTTAAAAAGGAAACAAATATTCTTTATTTAACAAAGTTTGCAAGTTTTAGTTTTATTTAAGCTAAACTATTTTATAAATAAAAAAAAAGTTATTTTTTTAATACCTATTTTATGTTTCGCGTAGTTTGAAAAGTTTAACATATTTGAAGCAATTCTTTTTAGTAAGATAAAAAAATGGAATAATTAAATCATTGAATTACTATAGAAATTAAATTAACAAGATAGAAATCAACTAAAAATGTTAAAAATACTTTATGAGGAGGAAGTGAAACTGCTTCACAATATCGCTGATGATGTTTAGTGAGTGGGCTTTTTAATTTGAATTAGTATTTAAAGCAGAAAAAAGTATAATAAGTTTTAAGAATGGCAATTTATGAGAAAATAATTAGAGTTAGTAAACCAATATCTAGAAACTTTTCTTTATATCTAATTATTTGCTATATATATATTTGTGTTCTGTCGTGACCTCAGGCGCGGTGCTTGTTCCTCCGCGAGTTACTTTGTATGCGTTGTTTGTGTTTAGTAACCAGAAACTTCTTATATGTTTGTTACATAATTATTTTTATTAACTTTAATGATTATAAATTCATTGAAAATGGAATTATTTTTGTAAGTCTTTGTTTAAATCATAAAAATTGCTTTAAAAGATACATTACGATAAAAAATAGATACACAAAATTACATTTACATAAAGAATACATATTTTTTAAGTAAAAAATAAGAATATACTAATAAAATCTATAATTTATAATAAACTTTTAAAATTTTGACAATTTAATTAATATATATTTAAAACATTTATTTTTGTAAACAAATAATATATTCTTAATACTATTTATGCTAGAAATCTCAAAACGTAACAAATCGTGAATGATACTATTTCTAAAACATTTCAACAGTATACTTTAGAACTTTATTTCACTTAGTTAGCGTATTCTTTGAACCAATAGAATTTGTTTGTTCGTTAATTTGGCGGGTTTTTAGTGTTTGGGAATATTCTTTTTATTCTTTTGCACCAAGATGTTTTGAGAACATCAAAGTTTTTTATGTTTCCATGTATGTTCGTAAAACAAATTTTTTTTGTTTCGTACATAAACTTAAATGTTCTCAAAACGATTGAAAAACCTGGCCAGTTTTTCGCAACTAAATATAATTTCCGTGGTCAGTATTCGAGAGCGATCGCTCCCGCTTCCTGACCAAGCCTGATATATAGATAGAGTATGGCCTCTTAAGCAATGAGCAATGCAATTTTCTCAGTCCTGCTAATTAACCCTCATAACATAGTAGTGACATAGGGCTTTAAGAGGGACACCATCCGTGCAAAACATTAATACTCTGATATTTTGCAGCTGTTGAAGGAATCAGCCTCTCTGAGAGCTACCACAGAGTTCGGAAAACCCTACTACCAGCTGGCCTCAGAACCTTTAAGCTGAGTTTTAGAGCTGTATCCTCATTAGGAGATAACAGGAAGAGTTGCATAGCCTCTATCAAGGAGGCACAAGCAAAAACCTATGAGAATAGTCAAGAAGATACAGCATTCATTATCCTAGGCAGAAAACAATGTAGCACAGGTTTACATCTATGCCAGTTTAATAAACGGGAAGGGGTTCGAGGCTGTTTAGCAGAATTATTCAGCTTACTCCTGAAGTCTTTGCCTAGGAGGCCTCCTACAAGATTGTAGTTGGATGCAGTTAACATCTACCTAAGATGAATATTTTTATCAAGACACTATCTCTAGCTTTCACTCAACCAAGAACCCTGGCTGGGGATTTTAAAGTCAGAATTTGTTTCTTCTAGCCTTTGCCTATTAAAGCACACCCTTCAAGTCAACAGGGTATGGGGCAGGTAGTACTGGGTTACATTAAGCAGCTGTGGCGCAGTGGTAGTGCAGTTGCCTCAGAAACAAAAGATCTGTATGAGTAAAAAATAAAAGATTTCTTGCAACGAAAACGGTAAGTTTGATTTTTAAACTTCTAAATTAGTAAAAAGTTAAACTTTTTCTGTATTGAGTTATTGAAATATTTTTTGAAATAATTTTTGTATTAAAAAAACGGCACACAATGACATTTAAAGTCATAACATACATATGTAAGAAATATTTATAACTTTACTTTTAGTTGTTTTATGATTCAATTTAGCTATACCATGTCAATTGTAATTGGATTGAAAGCATGGCAGTATTTTTGTAAAGAAAAATCTGGCAAATCTGCAATATGCATAAAGTACAATGTAAAGATTTTGTGCAAAGGATTTTTGACAAGTGGGCTCCTACGTCATTTAAAAAACACACATAAAGATTTGGATTTAAATATAAAGAGTCTACATGAAGATACTGGTTCGAAAATTAAAATTTTGCAAAAGAAAATCACATTGTTAAACAGCAGACTGTCAAGGAAATTGTGTCAAAGCTAGCAATGGTGGATGGCTTCTCAATAAATGCCATAATAAAAAGTCAATTCATTAGAAAATCATTGTCTGAAAAAGGCATGTTATTACCAAAAAATCCATCCCATTTATGGGTATGATAAAAAAAAACAATATGATTTAGCTAAACAAACTGTGGTTTTAGAGAGTATCTAGCAGGTCGCGATTTTCTTTATTGTTAGACGAATATACGTCTTTAAAATATCGACATTATCTAAATGTAAATTTACACTTATCAACAAAGTTTTGGAACCTGGGAATGACTCCGATAGCTGGATCACTTCCTGCAGAAATAATTGTTGATCTAGTTGATGTCATATTTCAGTTTATCGATTAAAAAGCACATCATAGTGTCACTGACAGAGCATCCATAATAAAAAAATTTGGATTGCTAAGTGGTATTGAACATCAGCTGTGTTATGCCCATGGACTTCATTTGGCAGTATGGGATATTCTTTACAAAAAGTCAGACTCTTCAGCAAAATATATTGAATTTGAATTGCAGTTTGAAGATTCCAATGAAAATTTGAGTGATTACAATGAGTTTAATGATGTATTTGACTGTAATGATGAGTCATACAGCTCAACAGGCATTATGTTTATTGATATAAATAATGTAAATACACTCTTAACAATTCAGAAGGTGTAATGATATGCACTGCTTCAATCTGTGCAGCAGAGAATTGAAGAACACAGAAATGCCAATTTAATTGGACTACTAAAATTTTTAAACAACCCAATTAGTTATAATCAGGAATCAAATATCAACTCCTAAATACTCTTACTGTTCAAACATGCATTAAAAGCAACAGCAAAAAAGAATTTATACTAGGTTGTACATATAGAATGTTAGCACTAATTCATCAAATAATAAAATAGTTGAAGTGAGTCGATGGAAACAGGGTTTCTGACCCATCAATATCTCAACCTGTTGTTCCAAATTTATTTGGCAAAAGTATTTTGACACTTGAACAAAAATTGGATGCGACTATTTGTAACTTAAAACAAGTGTTTTATAAAACGAGTGGTTCCGAGTTCGATCCCCACCACGTCCCTGGTAGTACCGCGCTCAACTCGTTTCTCCGCGCAGCGGCCTTGTTCGTCAAGGTTCGTGTTTCGGAGTTTTAGAGTTGAGAGAGGGTTATAGCCACAAAATAAGTAGCCTCCTCGTTTGTAGTGGCCTTCTCGGCCTTGAGGAGGTGAAGTAAAATTAAAAAAAAAGTAGAAAAAGCAGCTCTAGAAAACATTAGCAATTTAAAAAACCACACAAAAGAAATCATACTTTTTGAGGCAACTGGAAAGCCTAGTGAAAGTTTAGAAAGAATATACTCAACATTAATGACCATCAACTGACATTAATTGAATAAGAAAGAGCTTTTTCTGCCGTGGGTCTATTTATGGGAAAAATTCATTTACGATTAAGTGACAAATCAATTGATTGTTTATGTTTTTTAAAATAATATTTTATTTTAAATAGTAATATAGATTCGTTTGCTAAGATAAATTTGTGTCAGAAAACGCTTGTTATTATATTAAAAATTATGCCAGAAAATCCCGGGATAAATAAGTTACACACCGGGAATCCCAGGATGCTAAATTTATGGGAAATGAGAAACCCTAGTTCTGACAAGTTTTGTAAATTGTAAGATTTGATTAAAGAAAAACTGCATCAAGAATTTCATTAATTTATTTTTAGTAATAACATGAAATATATTATATATTTTGAACATTAGTGTATAATATATATTTTATGTTAACATGAAATATATATTATATATTTTGAGCATTAGTGTATAATATATATTTTACGTTAACATGAAATATATATTATATATTTTGAACATTAGTGTAAGATATAATTTATGTAAACATCAAATATATTATATATATTTTGAACATTAGTGTAAATTATATATTTTATGTTAAAACTAAAAATAACTCGATAAACTTTTTAACATATTTAAGTTTTGACTCAACATGCTTATTAATATAAAACTTTTTTTTTTTTATAGATAAAATTAAAAATAAATCTGCTAATGAAGTATCAAAGTCAAGAAAGCTTGTGGTAAAAAATTTATTTAAAAAACCATTTAAAATGTTAAGATGGGTGCCTATATATATGCATGTATATGTATGTATGTATATATATAAATATATATACATATATATATAAATATATATATATATCTATATATATATATATATATATATATATATATATATATATATATATATATATATATATATATATATATATATATATATATATATATATATATATATATATATATATATATATATATATATATATATATATATATATATATATATATATTATATATATATATATATATATATATATATATATATATATATATATATATATATATATATATATATATGTATATATGTATATATGTATATATATATATATATATATATATATATATATATATATATATATATATATATATATATATATATATATATACAGTAACATAGTGATAAAAGTCTAGTATGTTAAAAATATAATGAAAGTACTTTTTTCTTGCTTTCATAGCCTCAAACTGGTCTATAATATTTTTTAAATTTAATTGAGGTGCTAATTCTGCTTCATTAGCTTAGCACAGAAAAACTGTGTTGCGCCATTGTTATCTTTTACAGTTGCCATGCTAACAAGTTATGTCAAATATAGTATATGTGCTGCAATTATATCGTGAATGAATTTAAATCACAATATGTTATTGTGGACATGTAAAATGCTGAAATGCGAAAACTTTTTAATGTGTAATATCCAGCACTTAAGTATGGAAAGTTTCTCCTAACTTTAACCTTATCGCTGCTCCAATCCAAACCCTCTGTCGATGATGTACTTTCACTCTTTTGTATCCAAAGCATATCCAGTCAGGTTTAATTTCATATAACTTGTAATTTTGTTGCAAAGCATTTTGGAATGTTCAGCTGGACCACTGAAGTTTTATAATATTAAATAGCCAATAGTTCTTTTTGTATGTATTTAAAAAATTTTTAATCTTAATTATAACAATCTTAGTTATAACAATGACATCATTATGACAACAAATAACAAATAATGACATCATTATGACATTGCTTTTACTATTATAAACTGGAGTAATAAGAGTGAAAAAAAAACTGGTATTTGTTTGTTTTTGTTTTTTCCTGAAGACAAAAAAACGAAGCTAATTAAAAAAATTTATATAACCTTTTTTTATTTCATAAAAAGTTTATGAAATTAATATTGTAATATATTAAAACATATTCTTTTACTGTAATTTTCAGATAAATTGTTAAATGTCATAGGAAAAATTTAGACGAAAAAGATTTTGTATTTTTAAACTAAAACTTTTATTTGTGCAGTAATCATTTTGAAAATATAATGTATTATTCTAAAAAAAATGGTGGAAAATATTTATTACAATCAGCAAATCCTACTATTTTTAACATTCCACATCTTCTTTTATTTGTTGGTTGCAAAAAGAAACCACCAGTTGAATGTCATCCAGTTCCAGTAAAAAAATGAGATGTTTGTTTACCTGTTAATTCAGATAGTATTTTAGAGAACTAAATGAAATGTTAATAGTAACCTTTAAAGTTTGTAAGAATTTATTTTATTAAACAACTTTTAATAAAATAAATTCTAACAAACTTCTAAGATTAGTATTAACATTGCCAGGCGAAAATTCTAGATTACATAAACAAGTTCAACATTTTAAACGCAAAAAAAAAAATTCAAAAAAACTGTGATGGGTCTATAAAACATGTTTTAAAATTATTTAGGAAATACTAATCACCTATACAAGTTAGTTTTTTTTTTAAAGTCAATTAGAAACAAGTAAACAAATCAGTAAAGGAAAATGCTGGGCAGTTTGCAACAAAGTTTTGGCTTTGGGAAATTTGTTTCATATCCTCAAACTATTGAGGACAATGAAACAGTTATATAAAACATATAAACAATTATATAAAATTATTTAAATATATATAATATTATTGTCTTACAAACAATATTGTATTTACCAAGTCAAACATGATTATTATAATATTCTTCATGTTGTGATTTATATTGAAAGATAAAATCATTTAAAATGAGACCAATTTCTGCACCAAACTTCTGCAGCAGATTATTGCTTTTAATCTTTTGAATCATTTTGTGAAATAAAGTTGTCTAGTTGTGTACAAAATACATAAGTAACCTTGATAGTTCATTATTAAAAAAAGATTCCAGAATTTTTGGACATTTTTTTAACTTAAAAAGTATGAACGAAGGGATTCAAATAATTTTAAAACACGTTCAATAGCAGGTGTCAATGCAAGCCATCTCACTTTCGAATATCCTAAAAGTTTTTTTTATATTCAACATTTGCTTCTTTTCAAAATTGTTTTAAAGTAGCCACACAATCAGTAAAATTACTAAAGTACAAACAAATTGCGGTTATTATAACTTTTACATCAATTGGCAATGCACACGATGCTGTGTTAATTGTATTTGACAAAATATTTGCATTACAACTGATTCCTAGTATTTTCTTTTGAAGTAAGTCTTGTAATTTTACATAGACATCATTTACCTTTTTCCATCTTTACCCACCCAAGTTTGTATTTATATAATCAGCTGTTAGTGCAACTTTAGATTTCAAATTATTTTTATTTATCACCCTGTATAGGTGTTATGATAAAATGTCAGCAGTTTCACCCTCAATAGTTTCTAAATTTGAAATATTTACTTGAATGCCCTTGGTAACATTAAAATACCTTACTAGTATCGGATACAATTTGGTTTCATTGTGATTTGAGGCATCAGATAAAATTATTACAAGTTTTGAGTTTTTCATGTCTTCTGCAAGTTCTTTATCACAGTAATTTTTAAATATTGATTTAACAATAGCTTCACATTTTTGTCCTAGCTCATCAAAGTTTAGCATTATGAAATTTTTATTAATTTACTTGTGCAATCCATACTTCTATCCAACTCCAACTTTGATTATAAATTATATAAAATATGCAAACGTTCCCTCTATTACAGCTAACTCTTTTTCACCCTCAGAAAAATTTAAAGTTTTAAAAAAGTTTGTTACTTCACTAAAATAAGATAAACTTTTTTTTTAGGTTCCTTTTACCTTTTCAAAACCAAAAAAGGAGTTGGATAGGAGAAATATTTTGAAATTGAAAAATTTTGAAAGCTGAAGCATCTAATGATTTTTTATGTTTATTGGTGTTTAAGTGTTTCGTTATAGAGGTTTTCCCTGCAACTGCAATACAAAATTCTCCTCTGCAAGTATCACAAAAAACAATGGTATCTCTTTGATATGAGGACTGTAAATTTGTTTTTCAATTGATCGTTGAAATGGTATTTTCTCCTGTTTAATTTTTTCATTCCATAATTGAAATAAAATAATAATAATGTAAACATGTTATGTATAAATAAAATTATAAATTCAAGAATAAAACATACCAATTCTAATTACTTGAGTAGAATATTTAAAAAAAAAAACACTTGGTAAATAGTGAATTTTCACTATAAGAAATCTCGACATGAGCGATGGAATTGAAAGCGTTATATGGCCTCAACTAGTAAAAATTCTTTCATTAAACATTTCAGTTGCAATTTGTTTTAAGATAACAAAATTAGTTTTAAGATATTAAAAAGGAAGACAAGTAGGAGGACACTGATCAAGGTAGGACAGGACCTAAAAAAGGAGGATGACTGGTCACCTTAGAATTCATATGAGTTATATGCTGATAAACCAGCTTGTTGTGCTCTATCTTTATAAGGAACCACAATCAGAACTCAGTTGGAAAAGTAAAAGTAATGGATTGAGAAATAGATATTTTGTCACAATAATTGTATCAAGTGTCACAATTCTAACCTTAAGTAGACAGCTATTTTCTAAAGATTTTCAGTTTGTTTGTAATTCTCAATTTTAATCCGAACTGCATTAAGAATTTTATTTCTGTTATTCAAAGGTGGTTAGAATGACTGTCCTTATGTTAGACAATTTCAAGCTGCCTATAGAAACGCTTTGTTACTTTTATCTGTAGAAAAAAGCAAATGCAATAGCAGCTGTATAAAGGATTCAAATTGCAAGACAGCTTTCAATATAAATGATTTGAAGTGTTGCATTCAAACAATCACTAATTGTGGAATTTATGAAGTAGAAAATAACATGTCATGTCATAGGTGTGCACTCTTTCTTAGTTGACAATCCATCAGCTTTTATGTCACTAGTTTGTGAAACGGAGACAAATTTTATGAAATTTATTAATAAATATCTTGAAAGAAATGGACTGGCCGTGATTCTCATCAATAAAATAAAAAAAATGACATTTTCAGTTTTTGAATGATTAACATGAAAAACATCCACTTTATTTGGAAAAAAACATTCTGTTTTTTGTTATTACAAGAATTTTTTATTTAATAAACTTTTTAAACAGGGACATAAACCCACGAAAAGTCATTAAAAGAATTGCATGTATTGTTCATAATTAATAAATTATGATGCTCTTTTTTCAATTTTTTTTTTTAATAAGATGTACTAAACATGTTTTTTTGTAATAATATTTATAAACTTATAAATATATTGTTCTTTAAATCAACAATCCATAAACTGTTAAATAATAACAAAAGCAAAGGTAGCTACAGTAAAAATTATAAAAACTAAAACAAACAAAATATATATATATATATATATATATATATATATATATATATATATATATATATATATATATATATAAAAACAAAGAATATATACATATATACATATATATTCTTTGTTTATATATATATATATATATATAAACAAATAATATATATATATATATATATATATATATATATATATATATATATATATATATATATATATATATATATATATATATATATTTGATGAGCCTGGCAATAGCTTTTGCTTACTATTATATTGAGTGAAATTTGCCTGAATTTTGGAAGTTCTAAAAAAACAAATGTAATTCACAAATGCATTGCGTTATCCAAAACACACCCAACAAAACTTATATTGGTTTAAAAAGTGAGCAAGTGGAAAAAGAGAAGTGGAAAAAGAAAAACTCACTACAATACATAAATGTTAATTAAATAGCACAATCACCACAGTTGGTGGAGATAGTGTTGCACATTTGGAGATTTTTTTTTCTATTTTCTTTTAATCTATTATTTTGGAGATAGTGCTGCACATTTGGTGGAGATAGTGCTGCAAAGTAGTTGTCAAGTTTGGCTTTTGACAGGTAGAAATCCTCACAGATATCTGATACAGTGAGAGTATGTTGTTTGTATTCCTGTAAAATTATTATTATTTTTAAGTTGTTAGTTTTTAAACTATTTTTTAGCATTAGTTTAGATCTTTTATGCAATATTATTAAATCCTTAACACAATATTTAAATCATTTGGATGGTTTTAGTTAAAGAGATATAAATATATAAGCCTACAAAATCAGAAATATCTGGATTTTCATAACTGCTCATTGTTGCATAAGCTGTCATGTGATTTTTTTTTTTTTTTTTTTTCTCGTACAACTTCCTGCTTTTGGTTTTGGGTTGCTAGTAAATGTAAAATTTGCATGATTTTGGGTAAACATGCTAATTTATAATAAAAAGTAAAAAAAAAGTTTAGGGAAAAAAGAATATTAGCTTGACTAATATTATTTTCATACTGTTTTTGTAATAATTGTTTTTTGTATTTTTTTTATTTTTATTTTTTTGTAATTTTTGTACTTTTTTCCTTTTTTTGTATTTTTAAATTATTATTGAAAGTTCAAATAAGAGTAATTAAAATTTTGTAACAGTTTTTTTATAAATATTTCCTTTTGTTAAATTTTAAACTATTAACTAATTTAATAATTTTTTATTTTATTTTATTTAATCAATAATTTTTTATTTTATTTTTTAGATTGTAGAAGATGATGGTCTTACTGAAGTAAAAATTTTTTTCATTAATTGTAAAATATGTAAAAAAATTGCGATATTTTAGGGGTTACGAGTGGGATTATGAGTGTGTGTGCGTGTTGATATGTGTGTGTGGTGTGTGTGTGTTTTTTAAGCAATAATGATTTGAATCAATTTAATTGGTTGTGCAACAACTTTAACACTCTAATAAAGGATTTTGACTAGTTATAAATTATAATATCTTACTACTACTACTACTACTACTACTACTACTACTACTACTACTACTACTACTACTAATAATAATAATAATAATAATAATAATAATAATAATAATAATAATAATAATAATAATAATAATAATAGTAATAATAATAATAATAACAATAATAGTAATAGCAATAATAACAACAACAATAATATAAAAAATAATAATGATTTTACTATTAATCATAAAAGTATTAATAACTGCAAAAAAGTTATTCTGAGATCGGATTTTTATAATTCAACTTTCTTGTAAATTTTTTAAAAGGTTCAGAACTCAGTTGGTGAATATTTGAGTACTAATACAGATGAAGAATGTGTAGATAGATATGTGCTTCCTGATGTTCCCGACACAGATAATTATCTAATGAAGCAGAATAAAACTGTAAGTACAGTAGCTTAGTAAGTGCTTAGTAAGTAGCTTAGTTGAGAAAAAAGTGAACTTGATTAAACCAATTCCTTGATTAAACTTGAAAATTCAGTGAAAAAAGTGAACTTGATTAAACCAATTCCTTGATTAAACTTGATTAAACCTATTATCTATTATTATTGTTGATATTCTTTTGAATGATGACAAAACATTTTTTACAGAATTTAATAAAAGAGATGATGTAATGATTATTTTATTCTTTGGAATTTAATTTTACATGAATGATTTTAATTTTGTTAATATATAAAAATGGAATTTTAATTTGGCCCCACTCAATGTTTTATAACATACTTTATAAATCTTTTTTTTTTTTTTTTTTTTGCTTTTTTCTTTAGTATTACTCTCCCTTCTTTTTTTATTTTCTTTATTCAGCTTTTTTTATTCCCTTCCCTTCTTTTTTTATTTTCTTTATTCAGCTTTTGTTATTCCCTTCCCTTCTTTTTTTATTTTATTTATTCAGCTTTTTTTATTCCCTTCCCTTCTTTTTTTATTTTCTTTATTCAGCTTTTTTTATTCCCTTCCCTTCTTTTTTTATTTTCTTTATTCAGCTTTTTTTTATTCCCTTCCCTTCTTTTTTTATTTTCTTTATTCAGCTTTTGTACTTAATAAATAAATTTCTTGCTGATCTTTTCCCTACAAATAACTTCAAGTGTACTATATAAGTAAATAGTTTTTCTTAAACATTCTTTTGTGTAATTGATTATAACATGAGTTACTAATTTTTCAATAGGTTTGTTGTATGGTTTTCATAAGATACCACAAATAAATAATAATCCAAGTTTATGTAAATTAGAAGACTTATTGAGTGTGTTACTACCAAGAATATTAAGATCATTGTGGTTTAAGATGTTGTCAAAATAAATTGTTTATTTTTAAAAGTGGAATTCACTAGCTCACTGATGCCTAGAGTGGACACAGAATAATGATAATAGGTTGGCACCCATTTCTACTGTAGCTATTTAGATAAATGAACTTTTCATGAAGATATATATTTCATGAAGAATATATAGTTATGTTATAAGTAAATAAAGAAGCAAATAAAATTTTTAGAAGTGTTGTCATCAAGAATGTTAACAAAAGTTAGATACAACCTAGAATGTAATCTGTTTGGTAGGTATTTATAAAATGAGTAATTTAGAATGTTATCTAGATGGTAATAGGGACCTAGAATGCAATCTAGATAAATATAATATGGGACCTAGAATGGAATCTAGGGGCACCCTAGAGAATATTGCAATGGAAGAAGATTATTATTAAATACATTTTATTTAAATTTATTTTATCAAAATAATATAATTGTTATAATAGTAAAAAAAAATTTTGTGACCTCATTATCTTTAAGATTCACCATTATAATTAGTCACTTGAAATTTTTTACATGTAAAACTTTATGCATAAATTTAGATTTTTTTTAAAAAATAATGTAGATTTTTTTTTTTTTTGTTTGTTATTAACCTCTCAGATTATTAATAACAAAGTCTTCACCATATGGCTTACTCTACAACTTTAAGAATTGAGTTGCTGAAATTTATCATTAGTGCAAGATATTGCTGTTACAACACCGTTAAGTAATTTATGACTGCTTTTCTGCTACCATAAGTGCAGTATATTTAGTTTGCACTCTTTAAATGTACTGATACATACTTTCATCAGCAACAATTGTCTATAATCCCAATGTTTGGTCATTGATTTCCGTATAAGACTTAGCATTTATAGAATCTGTTAAACACTTGTAACAACATAGTATAAAGGGTCTGGATTGATACATGGCCTTTACCTATTTTTGAAATGCCATCATACATCTTATATTTTTATCAAAACTTTTCTGACCAGTTTTATTTGGTAAAAAGAGGTAAATATATTTTTAGAGGTAAATATATTTTTACTCCATTGACATAAGTTATAGTAAAGTTTTTTCATTTCAATTTTGAGTACATATTCCCATTTGTTAACATTTGGCAAACTGAATACAAAATACCAGGTCAAAACAACAGCTATTTAAATCTTTTTCATAGAAATATGTTTATTTGTTATTTCTGGTGGTGTAACTATAAATTGATGCCCATAAAATACTCTTTTTAAAGGTTTATAACCTTTTCTTTTACCTATAACAAATTTAATATTAAAGTACCAGTTTATAAAATTTAAATAAATTAAATGAAGATTTAGTTTAATATTTTTCTTCTAAAATATAGGCAAAAAATTACCCTAACATGCAGTGGTAACACACAAAGTGTTAACTTTTTCAAACATTCATTTTAGCATTGCAATATGGTTTCAGTGACTTAATTTTTTGGCAAAAAGTCATTATTTTTAAGTATGAAAACTGACTTTTTTTTATCTATCTTAAAGTAAACCCTTCAAAGTGTAAATAAGCATAGTACATTTTGAAATTAATAGTTTAGTTAGTTTATAATATGCACACAAAAATGAAAATACTTTTTATTGTAGCTTAGTTTACAGTGAATAAGCGTATATAGTTTACAGTGAATAAGTGTGACCAGTTAAAATAATTACAGTGAATAAGTGTGACCAGTTAAAATAATTATAAAAATATGTTACTATTTTAATGGTTAATATTTTTATTTGCTGTAAAGTAAATTGTTTTTGTAAAAGTATGTACTTTTTAAAAATATATAATTAAATTGAAATATTGCAATAAAATAACTATATTAGTTATAATATATTTATTAAAATATAATATATTATAATATATATAATATATTATTAAAAGCCATATAGTCCATCCATAGATTTTTTCTGAATTTTTAAATTGATTTTTCTTAATATTTCTCCTAATTATTTTTTGCAGGGTTAAATTTAGTTGATGTTTAGTAATATTTTCCAACTTTTAAAATTTGTCCATAGTTGTCTCTATTAAATTTATATATATACATTTGTTTTTAGTGATGTATTGTTTCAAATATGAGGGTGTATTTGATGTGTGGCAAGAAAAGAAAAAGAAAAACATAGGAATAACTCAAATGTGTATGATCACGTCATTCTAATAGCCAGAAATGATCAAACAGAAGTTAGTACCATTAATATTTATCAGAAAATTAATCCTTTGTTTTTTTGAACAAAAATAGGCAAAATGTCAAAGAACAATGGGCAGGTATAAAAAGAACAATTCAGATTGGTTGAGGGAAGAAATTCATTGTTTAATGGTACGGTTCTATCAACATCTCTATTCAGTCTTCTGGACAACCAAGATTATTATTAGTATATAACGATTGGAAGCTTCAGAATTATATCGGAAAACTTTCACAAAATATATCTGATATTGCAAACAGCACCTTAGCAAAAGAAATACAATCTAGTGTTGTTTTTGAAAGAATTAAACAGTAGACCTTTAATCGGATCACCTAAATATAAAAAAAAAAATTATTTTTTACGAAATAAAAGAAATACAGTCAAAAGAAGCAATTTAAGTATTTAAGAATACTTCCAATCAACAAAATAAAAGACAAGAATTTATTTTTAGAAATTATAATTTGTATCTAGATTACAAAAAGATTTAGAAATTTAAATTTGCAATTAAATTTTAATAAGAGACCAAGTGCTAACTCTATTTCTGATATCGTTGTGCAAGTACCATTCAAAAGTTTATTAGAACATTCGATCAGACGTATTGTACAATTAGGAAAAGAACTTTATAAGTAAATTTTTAACCACATGCAATCTTATTACTAATGTAATTAGTGCTGAGATAATATTTAGCTATGGTTTTAATCACAGTTCCTGTTATTCAGCCTATAGACAAAAATTTAATACAGCTGCCTGTCACTCTGGTTTAAATTTATTTTTGACTGTTATACTACTTTGTTTGAACTTGGAAGATGATACAGTCTTATGGAACAATATCTGTTCTTAACCTGTATTGTTTTCTAGACTTTTAAAAGTTGAATACATAAAGGAATCGAAGGACCACATTTTAAAAGAAAAACATGATGTTGACAGACAAATAAATGAGTTAAAGATACTACATATTTTTCTGTCTAATAATAAAAAATTCAAATGAACTATATTTATTATGTTAATTGATGGCAATATTTTAAATACCTGGAACAAAATCAATCAATTAATCAAAATCAATGTTTGTCCAACATTTCTCAATTATTTTATTAAAGTACAGGAAATTAAACCACAGAGGTCAAGGCAAAACCTAATACTTTAAAATACATCATTAGTCCACTTCGATATATGTATGCTTCGATACAATTTTTTGAATGGGTTGTCACTTATCATATAGATATGATTTGTGTAAATGGCAAATAATGGTACTAATAACAAAAAAACTTTTTTATGTAAAAAAAAAAAAGTAAAATTAAAAGAGTTACAAAATCAGTTTATTGAAAACTTACACCTTCACCTTACACCTTACACCTTCATGTGGATAAACCAAAAGTAGAAGGATCATAGTTGTAATATATAACTGTTTATCAATTTTTTTTTTTTAATCGTATAAATATAGTTATAAAATGTTTATTACATAAACATAAATTATAAGAACTTAGGTTATTTAAAAATTTTAGTTATTTTGTGTTTATATAAAAGTTATTAATATATGCCAAAAAATCAGGTCTCAGAAACCATAGTGCATTGGGTAAAGAGAGAGATTTTTTAATTTAAAAAATGCCATTCCTAGAAGCTTAACCATGAATAATATTACTCCTTTTAAAATCGTTTTATTTTTTTCGTAAGCTTGAAATTAACGGTAATGGTATCCGCATTATTATGCGGTATTAGGCTTAGTTAAAAAAAAAATCCATTTAGAGAGTGAAATCATTTTGTTTTTAGTGCGTTTTATTTCGTTATTTTGCTAAATAAAATGTTATTTGTTTTATCAGCAAAAACGAAAATATTATTTGATTTAATTTTTTTAACAAACTTTTTGAAATTCGTTTTTTATAGAGCGAAACTTTATTGTTTTGATTAAATGCAATTTTTATATATATATATTTAATATATATATATATATATATATATTTAATATATATATATATATATATATATATATATATATATATATATATATATATATATATATATATATATGAATAATTTTTACTTGAATAACCATGAATAATTTTACTTTACTTAGAACTAAAAATATAAGTATAACTAAAATATAAATCTAAAGTCTAAATTTAGTTTTTTTTGAGTTTTTCAATTTTAATGATATAAGACCACTAATAATGTTTTTTTATTTATTTTTTAGTCTTAATTAACCCAAGATTGAAACAACCGAGGAGGCTGTTTAATCGTAGCTATTTACTTATATTTTAATTGTAGCTACAACCCTCTCTCAACTCTATAACTCTAAAAGAAAAACCTTCATGAATAAAGCCACTGCACAGGGTTAGGGTTAGGGTTCAGCACGATACTACCAGGGACGTGGTGGGAGTTAAACTTGGAATTTTTCGCCTGTGAAGCAAGCGCTACTACACTACTACCACATCAATTTAATGATTTAATGTTTTAATGTTTAAACTATTTAAATGTTTATATGTTTTAATATTTAAACTACTTTAATGTTTTTGTTTAAAATAATATTAGAACTTCAACTCCTAAGTTTATTTGTTATTTTTTAGCATTTCTGATATATACATACTTGTGCTTTTTTTTAGCTTGTAACAGAAAATATTGCTTTAAAAGAAGATTTATTACAAACCAAAAAAGACTTTCTTGAATACAAACAGATTGCGAATAAACGGTATAATTTTAATTAGTTTATATATATATGTGTGTGTGTGTATATAAATATATATATATATATATATAGTTCTATAAATTGTTGACTTTAAGAGTACGGAAGGTAAAAAATGATTCTTTTGACAACAAATTACGTCACTTTTAATTACTTTTGACATTCATCCAACATTTCCGTGTTGTCATAAAGTTAAAACAATTAATTTAATTACTTTTTTAAAAAACCGCAAAAACGCAAGTTTAATTGACCAGAATGTTTTTAAAAACATCCTGAATAATTTTTAAAAATATTATGAATGTTTTTAAAAGCATTCTGAATGTTTTAAAAAATATAAACAATGTTTTTATTTTTATTTTTTAAATAAAATGTTTTTTTTTTTTTTTTTTACTGTAAATCATGCGCGAGTGTTGCTACATCAACTATCTTATAGCCTGACTCGCAACAGAGTGCTGCTACATCGATTGAAAAATAGCCTGACTCGCAACAGAGTGCTGCTACATCGACTGACAAATAGCCTGACTTGAAAAGGAGTGCTGCTACATCGACTGAGGGTTTGGTTTCGGCAGGCAGTCTATCAAATAATAATAAAAATAAATAAAACTTCTTGTCTTGCATTTAAATTTTTTTATATGTCAACAAAATATTGGAAAACGTTATGACAAGGTTGCAAGAGTCTATATATATATATATATATATATATATATATATATATATATATATATATATATATATATATATATATATATATATATATATATATATATATATATATATATATATACATATATATATATATATATATATATATATATATATATATATATATATATATATATATATATATATATATATATACATATATATATATATGTATATATACATATATATACATATATATATATATATATATATATATATATATATATATATATATATATATATATATATACAGATACATTATATATATGAATATATATATGTATATATACATTAGATATATATACATTATATATATATATATATATATATTTTATATATATATATATTTTATATATATATATATTTTATATATATATATATATATTATATATATATATATATATATATATTATATATATATATATATATATATATATTATATATATGTATATATATATATATATATATATATATATATATATATATATATATATATATATATATATATATATATATATATATATATATATATGTATGTATATATATAAATATAATGTATAAATATATGTTAGTGGTCTTATACCATTAAATTTGAAAAACTCAAAAAAAAAAATTTTTATGCACTATTTTTATTATAACTTAAAAATATTTTTATTTGTGTTAATAATTAACATAATTAACTTGACAAACCCTTTTGATTTGTCATCCGCAGCGAAAAAGTCAAATGCATTGACGCATCCAAAATAGTTAACACCAATGAAAGAGAGAGGAACCCATTCTTCAAATGGAAATCAGCAGCTGAGGCCTTTCAATCGCTCTTAGTATCTTACTAGTTCAACATTTTTAAACAAGGCCATCTCTTCCATTAAATTATCTGAATTTATAATCTAATCTTTCATGCTTCTACACTAATGTAACCTCCCTCAATCCAATAAAACTCATCAAACTCTTCTTACTTGCAGAAAACAACTCCTTTGACATTATTTTTATCACCGAGACAAGGTTTAACGACCAATCAACTCCCTCTCTTCCAAACTACAACCTCTATCATTCTGACCACCTGAACCAAATTGGAGGAGGTGTAGCTATACACACAAACAATAAAATCACCTCAAACCAACTTCAGTAATCCCTACTACACAAAAGTTTTATTTGTTACTATTCAGAACAGTTATAGGTCAAACTAAAGCTTCTGAATGAAACTCTGCTTCTAAGCTGCATTTATAGACCTTGATCTTCTGGTATCGAAGTTTTCTTAGAGATTTCAAGTGCAATTTCCCATCAAACATCAGTATCAACCAAAAAATACAATGGTATCAATCTTCTGCTCTAGTAAAATCAGTCTCAGTTCTTCATTTGTCTCTCCTCTTCAAGATTGTCATTTTCACCAAATTATCACTGTCCCTATTTTTAAACCTGCTAATCGCTCTATGACAAACACTCTTGATCTCATAATATGTGACTCTCCATATCATGCTAACAAATCAACATCAGTACTCCACTTGGTTTGTCTGATCAATATCATTGCTCTATCACCTGACAATACAAACTGGCTTCCACAGTAAAATTATTGCATTTCAGCAACTCAAAATTTATTTACAATCTTGGTAACTACGAAAAAATCAACAAAGAATTCAATAAGGTTGGCTGGTCATCAATTTTTAAAGACTTTACTGTAGAACAATGTTACCAACTTCGGCTAAACAAATACAATAGATGTAGTCTTTAATTCACCCCTTATATATTGTACAAACCATCCCCAAAAAAACAACCATGGATGACAAAAGAACTTTTATCTTGAAACAATGGACTTCTTGACTGGAAATATGGCTAGAAAACTACCAATTGACATCATATTCTTGGATTTTTCCAAAGCATTTTCACAAACTAAAAATGTACGGAATTGAAGGTAATCTTCTCAAATTGGATAAAAGCTTTTCTATTTAACAGGACTCAATGAGTCATCCTTGGTGACACTCCTCAATTAGTGACAATATTACTACAGCTCGCAGCTTACCTTAGTGAAAATTGCAATATGAGCTTCACAAAAACTAACTGTAATCTGAAAATCTATGATTTGTATTTTGTCAATTATTTTTACTTTTGTTGTAATAAATATATACTACTACTATTACTACTAATTAATAATTTAGTAGTTAATTTGACCCAATTTTAACAATTGAAATAAAATAAGTTTTGTTCAAAAAAATTGGCCCTTGTAATGTCATAAAAAATTGTTGTGACCTAACAACAATGCCCATTAATAGAAGGGGTAAAAAAAGTTAAAATTAAACAAGATGTTACAATTTTTTAATTATATTTGTTGAAGTATCAAATATATAAAGTATCTTTATCAAATCATTTATCAAAAAAAGTTACATTAAATTCAAAAACAAAATTACTCATTTAACGCCATGATAACTGTTGAAGTAGTTATGTGCTTTTATGCAACAGAGGTAACTTTACACTTTATACAGAGAATTGTTGTATAACCAGTCTTGCAATATCTGCAAAGATTTTGCTTTTCTGTGAAGACTGGGAAGTGGCTGATCTCATCTTGCCTAATATCATTTGATGGATCAGTTATATTTGGTGTCCTTTGCTTAGTTTTTTTTTTTATAATTGTAGTTCTTTTAAAAGACTTCCTCGACCTTAACATAATGAATTTGCAAATATTTTAACTTTACACAATGAATCAGCTAACCCTGTTTCAAATGCGTTTAAGGTCAACTGGTTCTTTTTTGAAGCATTTAGTTGATGCATGTGAAGACAGTATCACAACCAACTGTTTGTAATTGATATGCCAATACAGTAAAAAAAGATATGCATGTAGTACTTAGTAGTGTGTTGTTATACACAATACGCTATTAACAATATGTTACACGGTTGACCAATAAGATTGCAAGATTTCATATTGTGTCACTGAAAAAATTTTTTATTTGAGAGTATTTGTTTCATTAAAATAGAATATAGCGTTTTTAAAATCCAAAAAAAGTGCTAAAAATCACAACTGTGGCAAAAAGGTAAATTGAGGGGTCTGATGCCTATTTGACCATTTTAGATGCCCATTACAAAAAATATATAAATTAATTGAGAACATTTGTCTTATAAAAATAGAATATAAAGTTTTTTTTAAACTATAAAAGTTGGAACAAAGTGCTAAGGATCACAAAGGGCACAAAAAAATAAAATCATGGGGCCCTATGCCCATTAAAACATTTTTTACGCCGATTGTAAGAAAAAGTTATTAATTTATGGTATTTGTCTTATACAAATAGACACAAGTGTTTTAAAATCGAAACAAAGAACAAACAAAGAAGATTCACAAATAAAGCTAAAAAGTAAAATTGATGGGCTCCTAAGCTCATTTTAAAAAACAAAAAACTGAAACAAGTACTATTTGGCAATTTGTAAAAAAAGAATCTTTAAATGAAATATTGTCAAAAGTCGCAGCTGTTGATGGAATGGCGATCACGGCAATTAGTAAATCTCAAGCTATAGCTGGTTACGTGCAACAAAAAGGTTATAAAATGCCAAAAAGTTTGATTTGATGTTACAAATAAAGATATTAAGCAATTGAAAAAACTAAAACAAAAAAAAATCTATATTTACAATACGAATTTATATTTGTTACACAATCATTAATTCATTCTCCTGCACTTTAGAGAGCAATATGTCAAAGTTAAAGATAAATTAAAGTCTTCTTTCATTGAAATTTACTACAGAAGATAACAGTTGTTCTCCATGTTGAGTATGCTCTTCTGCACCTTTATATCTACTCCAGGTAGGTTTAAATTTAGAATGAATAGCCTCTTCACACTGTTCAGCAAACTTAGCTAGGCCATAGTTATGGTGTTCGACAAAGGGCTGAACATGACACAGCAAAATGTGAAACTTCCAGCTTAATGAACCTTTTTCCAAGAGCCTGTGCAAGCTCTTGGGTAAAAAGGAAAGAATTTTCGAACACAGTAAATGCCATTTTATTCTCTGTTAAAAGAATTTGACCAAAACAGGAATCTTTTACTACTTTAAAGTCTTTAAACACTATTAAGTACTTTAAACACTGAATTATAGGTGTCAATTGAGGAACCTGAGATCTTACTACTTTATCAAGTTCACCCAGGTTTTTCAGGATCTCGTTAGAATTATTTCTGTCCCAACCTCTACCTTTATACCCTCTCTGAAGAAAACTTTTAGTTTTCACTATCCATAGAAATTCATACAAATGCAAAATGAAGATCTAAACCATGTTGATTTATCAAATCCATTGTGAAAGATTATAACTCTTGAACATACACAAGATC